ATATATATATATATATATATAAACTGCGGTTCACTTAGCGCTTCAAACGCTACAAAGCATTTGTAGCACTGACATGATTGGTTCATTTGATGCTTTGGAACACTCCTAGCAACTCTGATTACATCGTTTTTGTTCCCATTTTGGTCCAACTGCCTCACCTCAGGAGGTGGGTTGGCTGGAGTGTTCACGCAATTGTAGCATTCGGAATAGTAATGGACCAATCGGAGCGTAACGTACAGAACATTTGGAAGAAACAAGTGGACCGCAGCCCGAGAAAGAGAGAGAGAGAGAGAGAGAGAGAGAGAGAGAGAGAGAGAGAAACAGGATATTCCAGATTTTAGATTCCATCATGCAAGATTAGACGAGGTTTTTCTCTTTAATATTACGTTAATTAAAAGAAAATGCGACTATTCACATTGATATACTGTATATAGATAGCTAATTGTATAAAAAGAAACTTGTTAACATAACATTATTCCAGATATACATGCTCTCTGTTATTTATGACGAAAGCTAAACGTCAATAGGCTGTAACAAAGAGGATATATGCTTACAATTGTTCAATCGTTTAACATTTAATACAACATATTATAAGCATGCGCTTGCCGGCGATCATGTCATCCTGAATCGATCGAGCGGAATCGTAAAATTTCCGGCACGAAGCATTAGTTGGAGCGTTTCCAACGGTTACGTTAACACTGTGTCGACTGTCAAATAGATCGACCAGATTCATGATCCATCACTGAAGTCTTAATGTTCATTTAATCAATGTAGATTTAGAGACTTTAATTTTTCGATTTAATTTACTCTTTATCTTTTTCTTAGTCTTAGAATCAAAAAAAGACGAAGGAAAGTTAAATCCACAGATTTCTATAACTAATTCACTTCACTTATTTTGCATGTGAAAGAGATGAGAATGATATCAACAAATCCTGCATGTATACATATACGTACAGTATTTGAGTATATGTATTTGTGTGAGTAGGTAGGCATAGCAACCGAGATTATTAAAGAAAATCTACCAGATAGAAATGGACATTATTTTGATGTTTCTCTCCTTTGATTAGTTTGAAGAAAGCGGTACTAAAGGAAATTACAAGAAAAAGAGAATTTTTAAAAACAATGCGAGTTACTAAAGTTGTGTGGTGATACGTCAGAGCATAACTCGCGCAGTTTGGCAAATTGTTCAATGATGTAAATGTACAGCGTAAATCGATTAAACGCGATGATCCGTGTGATACAAAGTACACGAAATATCATACCATTTAATTATTTCATTAAAATTATTACTATATTTGTAAAATATTGATTAAAAAAATTTTTTTAATTATGTGAACAGATTCATCTGTACTTTATGGAAATTCTATTAGATGCAGCGTCATGAATCGAAATTGGACGTACACATCAGTGAGATTGTGGACAATGCACCATTGACATAAAATACAAGGGGAAAATTATTTTTTACGAAAACAGAAAATTTAGCGTAGACTCGGAGACATTTCCGCCCACATCGTGCAACTGTTTGTCTAAAGATTTATGTCAGAAAGTAATGATATAAGGGCGCATCTCCAAGAGATTGTGAAACAATTGTAATCAGCGATTATATTGAATTGTCTATTTGAGATAATTTTCTAAGCTTTAGTAATTAATTCTATATCAGTTCTGTATCAGTTTTATTAAAAATAAATGTGTAATATGTAAAGCAAATATGACATTTCGTGAACCATCTTGTATTTGACGACCGAGCACCCGAGAAAATACTATATTGTTCTTCCAGCGTCTCTCTTATCTCAGTATATATTTTATTTTACTAATAAAACCATGATAGATATTAATATGAAATCGGAGATTTCTCGATTTCGAATGATGGTAAACCGTGCAATGGAACGGGAAAAATAAAAATCGCAAATGTTATCGAGACACTGTAGATACGGTGCAAGATAGGGGCAACGTGATACTGACTAACACCAACGCTACTCAGATTTAATAAAATTTACTGTAATACAAAGTATGTTTCGCTTAGCCTTGATCGATTTTGTTTCCCGACGTCGTGAAATTAGCAGCGAATTACGAGTCGCGTCAATGAACTTCGTGAGCCAAATTGAACAGTTTAAATTTAACCCTGAAAGAATGCTTCGAAGCATTTGATTGCAGATCAATTCATAAAATTCTTTCTGATTGGTCAACAAAGCATTTGTAGCGTTAAATGGATTGTACCTCTTGCTTAAAACTCAAAACCAACGACCCAGACGAGAATGGATTAAAATGAATTGAAATTTTTTTCTATCCGAATGCGTATTTTAAATAGCGAATACTTTTTTTTTATTTAATTGGATTCAATTGGATTCAATTAGATTCAATTGGATGCAATTGGATTAAAAAACTGCATTTTCTATTCAAAATTTTGAATTGAACAATATTCACAATGCACAGAAAAAGTTAATATTATTTTTAGATTGGCATAGAGAGAGATATGCTCCATGCAATTCCTAAATGAATAAAAATGCATTCAGGATTGAAAAGCATTCATTTTAACATTCGTAAATCAATATTTCTGAAAATCTGAATCCATTTCAATTCTCGTTTGCTAGAAAATCGACTTTCGACCGATTTGCGCGAAGTTTAAATATTTAAAATAAATAAATTAAAAATTCCAATCATGATGCAAAATACAGCATCGTGATAATGGCGATATTGGAAACAATCAATCAAATTTTATCCAAAATTCACTCTCCATTCACGGAAATGTTTCATCTTGTATTCTTACATCATAATTTCAATTCTCTTTCATTTATCATCATCGCTTGACTTCACTCCAGTTAGCTTCACGACTCTCTCTCTCTCTCTCTCTCTCTCTCTCTCTCTCTCTCTCTCTCTCTCTCTCCCTCTCTCCCTCCCTCCCTCCCTCCCTCCTCCCTCCCTACTCTCTCCCCTCTCTCTCCCTCCCTCTCTCTGCGGAGTAAAGTTAGGCAACCTGCGCACATAATTGCGAAAAAACTGTAAATCAAATCCATTTGCTTTGCTAAGTTAGTACACATGCTTTTCAGTTGTTATGTCAGCGAAAGTTTTTGTGCACGATGATTTTTAGGGACTCCACACAATAAAAGGAATAGATAATAAGAATTTCAATCTATTAGAAGTCATGTATTGTGGAATACATAGTTTCTGAGAAGTTGAAATTCTTATTCTCTGTTTTCTATTCTCCTTTTATTGTGCAGAACCCCTTATCGAGCAAAGAATTTGTTTGAAATTGTACTAACTAGCAAAGCAAACGGATTTGATTTACAGTTTTCTTGCAATTAAAAAAAAATAAAGTTCGAATACTTTTTGATCACAGTACGAACACGGCCATACTTGAAACGCAACAACGTTCACGACAATTTCTGCAGCAACATTTGAATGCGCTTTTGAACAGAAAGACGCGAATCTCGCAGTGGACAGTTATTCCACGAATGGAAATGGAAGTGTATGTTTCACCATTATTATCTTCAGATTATAGTATT